ACACTTCTGTTTTATCTTGAATTAAAACATGAAATTTAATTATTGGCGGGCAGGTTAAGGAGGAAATTATTGGAATGCATACATGTTACATGAAAAGGAACCCCTCAAAATAAAATAAAGCAGAAGCGTGTTGCCTATGCTTCTGAATTGACAGCTATAATATGTATTTTTCAAGTAATTATCTACATATGCAAACTGGGTGCAATATACGGTCATAAAAGCAATTTTATTATAACCTTCTTCCTTGAAGAGTGCTTTGTGTATCAAATATATCAAGTTCAGTAAGTTTCCTGGAAGAACTGGATCAAGGATCAAGGATTACCGGACCAAGGATCAAGGATTATGGATCAAGGATCTGTTCAAAATGAATGAAATAAATTAATAGGCATGAGTGATGGCTCATCTACGGGACTCAGTCAAGATCTCTCCCTGTTGACAGACGGGCGTTGTTTTTTAGCCCTTCCCCTGTCCGCCGACTTTCACGCTACTCTCGCGAGCGCTTGATCTCAAGTTAGATAAGAAACTGTCTATTCTTGATTCCAGTGTAGTTTCCAGGGATTTTCAGTGCATAGACAACGCAAACGTCTGAAATTTTATTCTTTCGCTAGAGAAATGAAAATAGAGGGTTTTTTTGTCATTCACACAAACCTTTCTTCTGCACTGAGACATTTGTAGACACGGCCAAAGGACAACAAAATCGCCATTATTTTCCAATTCTTTGCATTTTCACCCAAATCTTAGTCAATCTGACAAATATTCCCAGGTTTTCTCTTTGACCTTGAACTGGATATTTCATCTGTTCGCGAAAAAGTAGTTGAAAAAATCACGTTTTTTAAAGCACTTCTGCTTTTGCGCATTATGCTTAACCATTGGTGCGGTTCCCCTGTTGAGGCTATCGAGAAACAGAGAATCGGCAAACGTCAAGGTCCTTTATTTTGTCGGAAGTGATCGAAAGTGTGGGACTAAATTTTCTGCCTGCCGTGCCCACTGATGACAAAAAAAAAAAAAAGAAAAAACAGTTCCTCCTCGTTGGTCGTCAGGTACTTTTTTTAAAAAAAGAAATCACGTAAGACGAAGAACAGATTTAATTCTCCAGTGTGTCCTTGAGATTTTCGACTTGCTGCTTCTGTGTATACTCCAAGGGATTCACAACAACAACTCAGTGGGGCGATGCAGTTTTATCACTTTCTGAATCATGTCTCTTGTCAAATCCTGTCGGAAAAACGACTGAAATGTCTTCTTCTAAGCAAGTGATTCTTCAGATGCATTCCATCTCTTTTCCTTTAAGGACATGACATCAGTAAAAATTTGAAGAGATGAAATTAAAGGAGCTGAAGATTTGCTGTTCACTCCGGCAGTCGCCAAAAATGGCTTCATGTTCCGAAATTGCACCGGAAGTCAGATACGTAATCACATACCGATACTCGGGATAATTTAGAAATTTAATGTGAATATATTATATGCTCAAGTGAACCCGCTCTGTATCTGTCGGTCTTCAATAACTGTCCTACGAGTTGGTAGACGAAAATAAGCACTTCTACAAAGTGTTATAGCTTTTTCAGTCTTAAGTATATATATTTATTATATCTATGAAATTTGTGTCGATTGCGCTTATTTTCGCTTGACCATACGGGAGATCTTGACTGAGTCACGTAGATGAGCCATCACTCATGCCTATTAATTTATTTGATCTATTTGATTCATTTTGAACTGATCCTTGATCCTTATCCGGTTTTTCCAGGAAACCAGTTCAGTACCTCCAGAGTCACATGCCGGGCTTTTAAGTCTTCAGAATCATAAAATAATCAACGAGTTATGGCAGGCCAATTTAACGAATGCGACTCGAGCTACAAATACAAATTTACCGTTCTTAATTACTGAAATTCCGAGGGTGTGACTCAATTAATTCAAAAGAGGATATCCAAGCAGGTTACAGAAATGGTTCGCGAATTGTAAACTATTAATGTGTAGACAAAACTTTCCCAAATTATGGTGCCGATACAAATTCATCGTTCATAATCGTTTAAGAAATTTCGAGACTGTACCTGAATGAATTCAACAGAAAATATGCAGGAAGTTTTCAGAAACGGACTCTCGAAAACTGCTCTTGAAAACTGCTCCCTTCAGAGATTGATTCTTCAGTTTCCAGCATTACGAAAAAATAATCGTATCACAAGCATGTTCATCATAACCCGAGCGCTAAGTACGCCTCAAGATGTAGAGCGAAGAGAAAATGGCTCCATATTTTGTGACAAACAATTCCTGAAGTTCGAACAAATCGAGTAGAAAGCATGAAAACATAGCGCTGAAAAGTACGACAACCAATCAATGAAATTCACTCATTCCGCTGTAGCATCATCTCCATTTTACCCGTGAGTTTCTTTAAACCACACGTTTGACGGGTCCATTGCAGAATGTAGATCGTTCACAGGGGAAGCGTTAATGAAAACCTCACAGCTTGGGACAAATTTGACATGTGAGTCTTTTGTGTTCTAGTTTTAAGTTCTACTGACCAATAAAAACACATTAGATGACCGACGTGTGATGTGTTATCACGTTTACATGGCATGTAGGAGCAACCAGGTATCTAACTGGCTGGGTGATTGAACAGTTAAAATATTGAAAGTTCTGAATCAAACGTAAACCTATGAACCAAATTTATCCCTTTTTGGAAACCAAATTTAAAATCACCATCGAGTAAAAGCAATTACTATATGCAATAACTTGATTTCGAGTGCAATGAAAAATGCATTAGTTTTTTAGCCATTCAGGCTCGCCTAATTATTAGTATTAATAATTAATCCAAATCCGTTGAATCACATTCATTAAATCTTTGATGGTTGCAGTGCCTCAAGAAACAAAGCTGAAAAAAGAAGCTGTTTTGCTCTTTATTTCAATGTGTTCTCATGTTTAAGTCCCAAAAATGCAAGGACGAAGATAAGTGCATATTTTCGTGCAAAATGGAATAAAATAAGTTAAATATGTTAAATGTCCTACAAACATTTTTGCAACACGCGGGAAAAAATGTGGATCTACAAACAGCATAATGTTCCCCAAGTGAGATGTTCAGTTTCAATAAACAAACAATCACGTCCCTTCTTCTGTAACAACCACAAATCTTGGATTAAATTTTAAATGAAGACTTTTCGTAGTGGGTGTAGGGTTTGAAAATTGGAGACTGTCACTTGGATCAAATCCTCAGATATTTCCCAGTTTTATCTGGAGCATATTCGGTCGCTTAGTTCGAGAGGGGCGCTTGTTTGACATTATGGCCTACTATGGAGTCGCTACCTAATCAGGGGTGGGCGCATTTTCGTGGGTGGGCACTTATTTGAGGAAATACAGTAACTGTAAATGGTTAATCGGCTAAGCCTCAATGGTGTATGACCTAATCATAGTGCTCAGTCGAAAATAGTCAATTTTGGGTTTCCTTCAACGTGGGTGTCTTTGTGACCTCAAAAAAACTCCATACTTCGTTATTTTCCGTGGATTGCAATTTGAGGAGATTAACTCTTCGTATCTTTATTGAAGTTTTCTTACAATATAAAGGATATAGTGTCTACCCGAAGATATACCAATCCTTGTTATTGTCGAGAATGTCGCCACTGTTGTATCTTTTAATTCTTCCAACCCTTGTTTCAGCAGGGTGGTTTGGGAGACGAGGTATATTATTAGCAAAGCACGTTTTCGTCGAAAAATATACAGCTCCCTCTTCCCTCTCCCCAACTTGGATCCGTCATCTTGGCTTCATATTTGCTTCGGCTGTGCCGTTTGTTTCCTTGTTTGTTTGCTTATTTATTTATTTTTTATCTTTTAACTGCTTTACATCTACCTTTTCTCGTTAAATCATCGCGTTATTAGCCCGAAAATCATATTTAAAGAAGCTGAAGAAATTCGATTTTGTTTCTTTGATCGATAATTGCTTTTACAGTGAAGAAAAGCACACACAATATACTGGAGAACCCTTTTTTATTGATAATTTTGCACTAAGTTTCCAGTTTCAACTACGATGTAGCAACAGCTTGGAATTGAACTTTATAAGAGAGTTTATAAGAGAGTTTTTCTTTCGAATGTTGATAGCTCATTGTACGCGCCCGTGGTCTTGCAAGTAAATTTGTGGAGAAAACAGTTGCGAATCCAATAGAAAGGTTTCAAAGACGTTGTGGACTCACCAGGCACAGCCGTGTGAGTTCGTAACAAATTTTGACCACTGTTATGACGAATATCGTTTCAATAAGACTGCAGACCACGCTAATCCACGGCCGTTTTGTTTTTACCACTATGTCGACGTCAAATAAAACATTTGTTTCAGTGCTTGACAATAGCGTGACAAGTTGACAAGCAGCGCTACCGTACTCGCATCGACAACGGCAAACTGGCCAATCAGATGGCGACATTATTGCCAATTGTGTTTAAAAAAAAAAAACCTGTTTGGCTAACGGCGACAATCTTTCTATTTGTGACAACTGCTTCCGTGAACGATTGAGGGAAAGTTGAAAAAGAAATCCTTAACCCTTGTTTCAATTGCTGCGATCACAGCAGCTTACACAGAAATGATCTTGGACGATACTTGCTTGTTACCTGCTCTTTCAGAAAAAATCTGCCAGAGCTGGTCGGAATATGTTTAAGAAAAAAACAAACTAGAAAATATTAGCAAAATAGTCTCAACAACGTACCGTTTTTACCATTTTCAAAGATCAGGCAATATCATTTCCATAATGTGGCAAAGCATGGAGACATTTCACAGAAAGAAAGTAATAATCTTAAGATATATAAAAGAAAAAGGAATATATCTGCCTGTTGGTAGAGACGATGATTCCTTAAAAGGGCAAGCATTGATTGTCAATGTGCACTTCTTCTTCTCCCATCTCATCACGTCGGAAATGACCAAAATTAATGATGGCTAATAGTGGCTGCTATTCGTCAGTTACAATACCAAGCAATCACGGCTAAATTCTACTTTCGTTATCGCTGTTTTTGAGATTATGCGATGCGGTATGTCAGTTTATCAGAAATGTGATGGTCACTTGACCATGACCAGCCGTTTTGTAACAACAATCATTTTGCTGATTGTGTCCAACATTAAAGGATCCACCGCCACCCCCACAAGAATTCCCTTTGCCTTTTCCACTGCCTCCCCCAGAGTATCCGCCTCCTCCTCCTGCCCCTCCTGCTCTGAATCCGTGAGTTCCACCTCCTCCTCCAAACCCACCAACGATATCGTTATGCAAGGATCTTCCACCTACCCCTCCCTGAAGGAATCCCTTACCACCTTCTCCACCTTTTCCCTCGGTTCCGCCAAAATTTACACTACTTCTTCCACTGGAGTAAAACCCACCACCACCACCACCTGAAAAAAATTTCAATAATAAACAAAAACGGAACTGTGTTAAACTGAAATGTTACGCTTCTCGATTATTGGCATTTTTATTGCGAAAAACAAAACACTCACATGCACTCATATCAGTGTGGTCAATCCTTTACGTGATGCCTTCGTATTGGGACGTGACCCGTTTGGTGGATACAGCTGCTTCGAGAAAGGTTGTCGGCCAAAAAGTGTAAAAGTGTACGCGACTACTCCGAGAGGTAATGTGGGTAGTTGTCAGGTCACGTTTCTTTTACCTCAGAATTACATGGAAATCTGAGAAAACTTCACGGTAAGCACAAGGTATCAATCAATTGATTTGGCCCATTAAAATCTACTAATTACCAGATACCAGATTAACTTTCAAGATTGTCGCGGCGTGCACTTTTGTCCTTTTTTTGCGACAACCTTTCTCAGACTTCTACAGATTTCTTCATAGCAAGTACGACGTAGGGATTTATATTCACGAGTTAGAAAACTCGGAAAAACGAACGAGTGATTATATGAACGAGTTAGTTTTCCAAAGTTTTGCCACTCATAAACAAAATTCCGTATGTTACCTCAATATTGCGCAATTATGGCAGATCGTTTACAATTTTGTGTCATTTCGAAGTATTTATTAATAGTCTTTAAAGATGTCGTGTAAGGCTTGATAAAACGGAACGTGAATAGTGTTCTCTATAGCTAAATGAGGAGCGGAGTTGGAAGGGATCATCGCAATATTCCGCCTTACCTGCCCATTGATCATCGGCAGTCTGTGCGCCATGTCCATTACTACCCCCCGGCCATGATTTGTATCCAGGATTTCCTGTTGTGTTTGTGCTGGCGTCGCATCCTCCATGTCTTGCTCTAACACTTTGACCGCCTCCTCCGCCTCCAGCTATTATCAAAGGTGTTCTGCTTCCTCTCACTACAAAGGTGCCTCCACCACCTGCAGAGGACTTATTCCATTCGTTTATTCCTCCTTCTTGACCAACAAGTATCTGAATGACTTCACCCTTGTTTAAACGGAATGTTCCAATCATTTTCGCTCCTCTTCCGCGGTACTGAGAGCTGTTAGGTGTTGAATCGTACCCTCCTGCTGCTCCTATTGCTTCTATTCTGTATTCACCACTGTAAGGCACAGTCCATTGTTGAATACCACTGGATAATGTCGCTTGTCCGTCATGATCCTGACCTGTGTAATGACTGCCTTGTGTTGGTGGACCATATCTACCTGAGGCATTGTTATTTGTAAAAACGGCATTGAATGCTGTGGGGATAAAAAAAAAAAACCCTTTAATCTCTTTTCCTATCTCTTGGCGTGTTATCGCATGACAAGACACAAGGGGACACAAGAAAGAAATGAAAACCACAAAAGAGATGAGAGGAACTCGAATCAACAGATGACACGAGGAAACAAACGGAACACGAGTGGATGAATAAAACGAAAACTACAAGGGATAAAGAGCGAGACGCGAATCATCAGATAAAACGAGGCAACACACAAAACACAAGTGAAGGAAAAAAAAAAGGGATACAGACAATCGTGAAACGACTGGAGGAAACTTGAGTCCCTAAATGAAACCAAAACCAAAACGGGCACAGAGTGTGATACAGCACACGGAAGCAAGAGACATACGAGATCAAACTAAAATACAGTTACAAAAGAGACGCATAAATGCAATACTAAACATGATTTTTGGAGCTATCAGTACTCCTCACCTTTTTCACAATGCTTCCCCGTGTAACCAGCCCGACACATACACTTGTATTCCTTGTCTGTAAATCCAACTAGGCAAGTTGCATTGTTGTAGCACTTGTTGAAACAACATTTGTTCTGGTAAAAAAATATAGTTAGCCTTATTTGAAGAGAATATACGCACTCCAATTACTAGAGAATCCCTTAAGGTAGTATGAGAACACAGAAAAACTTGTACATGAATCGTCTCAGATTAGACGCAACAGATTTTTCCGGTGTTCTATTATTAATGGTAAAAGGACCGATTGGAGTCGAATTCGGTCTGTAATCATACGAGTGATGAACAAAATAAGACGACCACGAAGCGGGAGTCCAATTTGTTAATCACGAGTTCTAGACATCGGGTATACGTTTTCATGAAAATATTAATATTAATCGGCGATTGTCCAATTACAAGCATCACGCGTACACTGCTCTATAAGTGCTCAAATTGGGCTGGTGATAACCAATCACGTTCGAGAATTTTGTTATAATTTGATTATGCTCGTATTACGCGTATAACAGCAAGTGTGAGTTTCTACACAACAAACCGAAATAATCTGCCTCCTTTTTTAGGCGCAATCTTTCCATGTTCTTTAATTTTTCACTTATATCATTTCCAAAACATTCATATTCGCTAAGCTTCTTTACGCCAACGTTATAGCAGGAACTTGCTGCTTTCTTACACCATCGCGGCGAGTTTCATCGCCAGCGCAAATCGCAAGTGATCATTGAATGTTGTGGATTCATGCCGGACATACTTGAAGGTTTTGGTGTTTTCATTTTGGTCGATGGCGGTGTTTCTGGGCTTCTTTTGAAAAGTTTTTTGATGAAATCGCCCAGGCTAACTACAAGTGAGAACTCACAGAGGAGCAAGGAAAATATTTTGAACGATACCTAAGGCTTACAAGTAGACAAAAAAACTCAAAACAAATATCATATCCTTACCTCCGTACCCCTGTACATAAAGTCTGCCATCGGTTTCAGATCATTTGGGTGTTGCAATTGGTCCGAGTCACTTATCTGACACAAAACTTTATCCCTTTTACTTGGTCCCATGTTGATCGATGTACATCTGTCTTCCATGGTACACCAATTTATGCAGCGACTATACATATGCATACCGACCGGTAATGAAATGTTTTTGAGGACATGACCCACCAATGCATATCCATACGTTGGTTGCAGGAACACGAGACGCCGACAGCTATCTGTATATTAGACAGGAGTGACGGAATGGTGGAAAAACAAAGCAAAATTGGTTATCTAATCGAAAGGGCTAGCCCGGGTTAGTATTTACATGAAAAAATTGAGGAAGTTACACCACTTTTCGCCGAGTCAACTCGGCTCTCAACGACGGTTGCTTGGCAAGGAGGGCTGGCTTGACTTCACTATTTTTTTGGTGTAAACGCCTACAAACGTTTACCCAGCATGGTAATTTAATCCGGGTTAAAAAGCAATCAGAGGTCGCGTAAAGAAGCCATAAAAATCCATTGAAGCCATTGAGAGCATCTCTCTCTCTTATTGTTCTTTTCAATTATTGCTCCACCACTTTCTGTATCGAAAATATTTACGCGTATAGAAGATCTTTAAAATTGATAAACAATAACAAGGCGAAAAGTGCGTGGGTTGCCCTTGAACAGGAGCCAGCCACGCGTGTCATTTTCAAAGTCAAAGTCTCTAGATGTTTCCACAAACGTGATCTACCGCAGAGATCATTTTGATGTTTACAAAATTTGTTACATCCTGCTTAACATAACGTCACCGATAATCAATTAACTGTCTTTCTTTGAAACAGCCACGCCGACTTCATCCTCTCTTTGATTAATCATTTATTAGCGTTTCCCTGCAAGCTCGATCTATTGGGGGCAAAACTAGTTGATAATGACCAAAAAATATTTTTTCCCCACAGAATTTTAGCTTCTAATACGTATATATTTAATTGTTTTATGGTAAAATTGATCTGAATAAGTTCTTCGCAAAAATAAAATTGAGGAAACTTCCCTAGGAAAGTGTTGAACAAATTTATTGCATTTTGTGATGAAACTAGTCTAGAGAGTTTCCATAAGTGCTTACTTCTCCTAAAATCTTGGTTCATTTTAATTCGTGGACTGCTTTAGCTATAATTGTCAACAAAATAACAAATTTGGTTGCACTCGACTTTCTTCGAATGATCACATTACATTTTAAATCACAGCCCTATCGATGAGTTGAATTAGGACCGAATTTTCGGTTCAACCTTGCTTTCCATCAATTGCGCACTCCCTCAGCTTTCTTTAGAACTTACTATGGTGTATATGTACTAAGTGTATATGTACTGAGTATAAGTGCGCATGTCTTCAGTAAAGGACTGTCCTTAACGTTTAGTAAGATTGTCCAAACAGTTTTCCAGCAAACGTTTTAACTCCTGGATAGAGAAAGGCCCTGTGAAGGTAGAACGCATAGCACAGTCGTCGGGCTGGTGCTCGAGCCCACACCTTCCGCTCTCGGGTCTAGCGCAATGATCATTGAGCCACCAATAGACATCAAACACACGACCACGAAAATTTAAAATGAAGTCTGCCTTCAAGAATCAATAAGAAGCAAAGGAAAGTTAAAGCTAACTAACCTTGGTTTGCACCCGTCAAAATGTAAAACCAGCCTCCAAATAAAAGAAGTAGAAACAGGAAAGAAAGCACCGGACAGCGAAAGAGCTTCATACTCAGAATCTTATAACAAAGGAACTTTTCAGCCTTTTTCTTGCGGTAATTCCTTGTATACGAGAATTTCAATAGCGTGAGATAACTCTCGCACTGATCAAAATTGCCAAATCTTATAGCTCACTATCGTTAATAATTAACCCCAATGGAAAGAAGAAAACGAAACGACACAAAAAAGAAAAGAAAAGAAACTAGGAACAACTGTAGAGAGCATGTCGTTTCTATTTAAACTATAACTATCACTAATATGTCATTATTATCAAAATAATGACGATCATGTCTAATATCATTAAATAACCTCCCAGACGAAGACTAAATAATTTGAGCTTTGAGCTTGAATTAATTTTGATAATTGTAAGTCCTCTGTATTCTTGGTGGAATTGAAATTCAAAACAATCCCAAAGTTTTGTAAACTGACAGAATAAAAACAAAGGAAAATGAATAATGTGTTTTGTGTTTTCTTATTCCTTTGTTATGCGGGAGTTCAGACCATCATTTTAGCTTCGGTACTGTATTCGATATTTAAACGATTATATTTAAATCGCACGTTTTGAATTAAACAAGAGAAACATCACGAAACGTGAATCCTTTTTTTAAATATACTCTTTTGGGGACTTTTTCACATTTTTAACCACCAAAACGAATAAAGGAGTTAAAATGAATAACAAAAAAATCCTATGAATTTTAGCGTGCAAAATTAAGTCTGTCTTAAGGCAGGTGTGAATCAGCACTTCAAACAAACTGCTACCATGACGACATATAACGAATAATATATGGGCGCACGTGGATATCGAATTTCTCTTCGAGTGTTTACCTCGGAAGTGAGATGTTGAGTTGAACACGAGAAGAGAAATTTCATATCTACCAGTAACCATATATTATTTTTTTTATCACATAAACACAATAGCCCTTTACTAACAAGAAAAGTCAATTTTATTAATGAATGAAGGTAAAAGGATCGACAATCCCCGGATAAAGTGCGTACGCGCTACGGTTCAAGATGAAAAAATGCGTTAAAACACTAAAAAAAAAATTAGTGACTCGGTCCTTACCGACAGATCACGACAGAAGAAATTTTTCAGGTACACGGCCACAATCGGCCTGTGGCAAATCTTCCAGTTGTCGATTTTCGTTCTCAGCCAATCTTGCCCAATACCAATAATCAAACAATTTTTATTCTACCAGTATAAATTAAGCTACAGGCGTTTACATGGCCTTCCCTCGTAATTAAAACATTCCGATGAAGCAAGGGTATCACAGAAGCGTCTTCTTAAATTATTACTTCAGTTTAAAGGGTGAACACTACCGCTTAACAAAGGTGACCGCTTAATAGAGGAGAACCGAAAACCGCCGCCTGATACGGTTCCGCTCAATACAGGTTCGACTGTTGAGTGTGTTGTTTCTCTTCAAAGATGATCATCCGTGATCCCTTGCGTTTACGAAGAACACTAATGTAGAATCCCCGCTAACTTGAACTGCTAATATCCAGCCGTCTTTACTTTACACTTGGTCAATAACGCATTTATATTGAGTATAGTGGCAAATTCAAGCTTCAATGATGGTTTTTACTCCTGCGGGCCAATTATGTAATTAAACAAGGAAACACTAAAACCCTTCCGTCATTTTACTGAGTTGTTATTCAGTCTTTTTGTCAAACAGAGGCACTGTTTTGACTTCATTCGAACTCGTTTTGTTTTTATCGTTGTTTTCTGTGAAGAGCCAAAACAAGAGACTCCTTACTGAATATTTCTATGCACAAATGACATTGGAAGAACTTCATAAACAGTAGCCGCTTTGAGATTTATAACTAATCACAATAAGAGATAAAATTTCTCCTTTTGGCTCCATGCGAGAA